AATCATGAACCAGGCCGGTTCATGGGTATTTTCAGTCATTAATTCAGTTCATGCCCATCTCTACTGGCAAGACATACTTGTGTTCTTTCCATTCATATGGTGTGGTGCTACCATATCATCTGTCATCAGAGAGCAAAAAATGAAGGTGAGAGGAAAGGTGGCTAACAAGAAGAAGGAAGGGGCAGTGTCAAGGACTCTGAGGCATGGGGGGGAACTCCTATATTTAAGTTAGTCACACGTATTATCTGGGAACTAACAACAAACAGGGCATGGTCCTCATTGACACCCAGTGTGAAAGAAGAAACACGCAAAACGGTATTTTTTTTTTCACCTAGCGCATATGGAAGTAGAATACTGCATCTAACAGCATCTTTTCCACATAGAAAGCCGAAAGTATTTTCACACATTTGAAGTTCTTGTATTGTCATATAGGAAGCTTAGGTTCAGTGGTAATTTTGAGCTATGAAGATTTTATTGTTAATGTCGAAAGGAAAGTGGAAGAGAAGCAATGCAGAAGAGAAACTTGAGAATTTAGATTTATATTACTAATAAACTAAAGCACTAGTTAGTTTAGCCTCATGTGTGGAAAACGGGACTAGCCTTACCATTAGGCAAAGCAGGATGAGCACCTCAGGTGGCAGATCCTTAGAGGCACATAAAAGACAGAAATGTGAGTGTCATGTCCCTTATCTTTTATCTCTGGAAAAGCTGAGAATGTTGTACCGTCACCAGTGCCAAAATAAGCTTCGACTGGTCACATTTTGTACATAGAATGGAGTGAAAGTGCCATGTTGTCTTTTGTCTTAGACAGCAAAAAATTTTTCCTACGACCCTAGTCCAAAACTACAAGCAGTACAGTGTGCCTCGCTTGACGACGTTAATTCATTCCAGCGAAATCGCTGTAGAGCGAAAATGTCAAACGAAAATTTTAAAACCCATTGAAACCCGTTCAATGCGTTTCAATGGACTGAACACCTGCTCATCCAGTGGAGATCCTCCATACAGCGGCCATTTTCGGTGCCTGTAAAGCGAGGAATCCGTCCTAGAAAATAGCGGAGTGCCATTTTCTTCAGCTGGTGGCCATTTTGAAACCTGACAATCAGCTGTTTGCTGATCGTCATAAAGCGAAAATCGGTTCACGAAGCAGGGAACCGATCATCGCACAGCAAAAAAAAAAACATTTAAAACATCATTTTGCGATTGCAAAAGCGATTGCAAAAACATCAACATAAAGCGGATTTGTCATAGAGCAGCGTAATCATCCAGCAGGGCACAACTGTATTTGAAACACCACAGCTACCCAGTAGCCTGGTAGTTAACTACATATTGTTGCTATTCTGCCCTACACAGCCTCCATCCCCCTTCCCAGCTGTTCAGTGCAGGAACTCAGGCAGCTCTTCTGATTCTGCCCCAGTCTGCCCCATGCATGGGCATCAGGATCCTTTTACTAACCATGATTTTTTCTCCTGGGATTCTTTCTGCCACAACAAACTTCAAAATGACAAAGGCTACCCTCAAAAAGGGGCATAGCTGATAGACGGTAGGATATTGGTACTTGTTATCTGTTCCTGCAATTATTGCATTATTTTAAGAATCAGTTGTACAAAAACTGTTCAGTCACAATCAATGGTATTCAGTCCTAATGCACATGAGAGGGAAGTACCTTCAGGCTCTTAAAATATAAAATTAATGAGATCTGTAAGAAATGTTTGAACACTAAAACTGCTGCATAAACTGAAATATCCCTTTAACTAGTCAGCTACCCCAGTGCTTCTTACAAAACGAGGAGCGGGATATTCAATCACTGCTTTATATTTGTGGCTGGTTGTCTTTTAGGTTTGCTTTACCAGGATAGAGTGAAAAGAAGAATAGAATGTGATTGGAATTTCTGAATCGGTGACTTGTTGTAAATCCTGTTTGTGAAAGCATCATTATGAGAAATATATAAGTTAATTTATTTATTAGCACAACAAGGGGCAATGAAGTTGGTTCCAGTCTCCGGATAGGATAGATTTAGCCTATCTGAGAAAAGTTATATGGTGCCACCTAGAGGTGCCCGGAATACCTTATTTTAATGGGTCTTTATAAAATTACTAAAGTTGATTGTCATCTGTACCAGGTCAGCTTAAAATGTATACATAGGAACGATTGACGAGCCATTCCATCTTACCAGTAATCAAAGAAAAGCCTTTTGAGAAAAAGGAAAGCTATGACGAAGTTGTACACATATCTTTCTCAGTGTTCAAAATGAAGGCACACAACTATCTTACTTATTCCTGAAATATGAATGTTCAGTGTGGAAACTCAGTCATGTGAAATAACACCCCTCAATGTTAAGATGTAGCACAGGTGAATGTTGCAAGTTGGCCATTGCAGTATTGAACAAGTTTAATTTTGTCAGCAATCTACAAAATCTTCCCTGGAATGGAAAGGTGAAATATTGACCATGCTTCAGAAATAGCCCGTGCTGATATATTGAAGAGCCTTAATTAATCCAGGTTATTTTTAACCCAGACATTTCCCAATATTCCATTGCTACAGGGATGAAAAGGAACAATGATAAGGTTGAGGAAGCCAGAACACCTGCAAAGGTCATTATTAGAGCAGATGCCTCCCTGGTTAATGCTTGACAGGTTAATTAATAGGTGAGACTACAGAGGACAAGGGTGATAATTGTGGAGCAGAAATTGTCCACTGCTAGCTGGAAAATACATCTGTGATCCAGCCTCTGATCATCTACTGCAGTGTGTCTCTTGTTCAAGAAGAACAAATGGGCAGACAAGAGGGAGTTTCTTCTTCCTCCAAGTCTGGATTTTGTATGATAGTTCCATTTGTTTGTTCCCACTCACAATTCAGAGGCATGTTTTGTACTTGTAGTGTTCCACATACCTGCCGACCTGCTCCTATCTCTACAAAAGAGTCTAAGTTACATTTCTTAAGTGTAATATGATTTTACATATCATATCTTTCCTATGCATAGATAACTTTATACATTGCTTCTTTACAGGGATGCCTTAGTAGAATTTGATGTGTATTCATTAATACCAAGATTCCAGTTAAATGGGCAATGTGTGTTTCCATGTATGAAATCATTTATAATGCAAATTTCACATTTTTCAAAAACCCCACAGGAGCCTGATGGCATCTTAAAAGACGTATTATTTGCACATGAGAGAGAAAGAAGTGAAGGCTTCTTTCGGAATGATGCCAGTTGTAGCTTGTGTGCTTGACACATAACAGAGCATGTGCTTTGGACCTTTCGAACAATTATTCTTCCCTTCATATGTCAATGTACTTCTTTTCAGAACCCACAGTTCTGCCCATTATGTACATCTGTCAATGTACCTGAGTGAGTAAAAATCATAAAATCAGTCAACCAATGGTGGGAATGCTTCTTCCTGATATGCAAGTCACTTTATATCTTTATTTCTTTCATCCTTGTAGCAATACTGAGTGGCAGTCCATTATTAACAATATCTCTCCAGTGGGGAGAAACTTTTCTAGGACCAACTTATGAGTACCTGGCTGAGTCTGGCTTATGGGTGCAACTGGGGACAATCATGGTCTGAGCTGCAGGGCGGCTCATCCCTAAATTTCAGGATGGAGCACACACACAGGTTTTGTCATGAGCTGCCTATGAAACATAAGAATCTTTAATAAATCAAAGCCTAGAGAATTATTGAGTATTTCCAGACAAATGGCTCTTATAATGAACATTTAAAAGGCATGGTGGAGTAATCTTGTCCCCACACCCAATATATTTTTTCTCTAGTAAGAGGAGAAGGGGAGAAGGAAAAAGTGATAACAAAACACGGACAGTTACAAATTAAAGATGGTGATGTCTCAGCTTCTACATAAAAATTCTATGAAAGAGGAAGTATGATCTGGTAATAAAAGATTTGGCTAGACCAGTGCTTCCCAGCATTGGGTCTCCAGATGTTCTTGGACTATGACTCCCATAAATTATGGCCAACACAGCTAGTGGTGAAGGCTTCTGGGAGCTGTAATTCAAGCACATCTGGGGATCCAAGTTTGGTCTTGATGGATTCTCCATTTCTGAGAGGCAGGTTATCTCTCTATAGATTGTCGTTTAGTTGTGCCCGACTCTTCGTGACCCCATGGACCAGAGCACACCAGGCTCTCCTATCTTCCACTGCCTCCCAGAGTTGTGTCAAATTCATTCTGGTAGCTTCGATGACACTGTCCAACCATCTCATCCTCTGTCTTCCCCTTCTCCTCTCGCCTTCACACTTTCCTAACATCAAGGTCTTTTCCAAGGAGTCTTCTCTTCTCATGAGATGGCCAAAGTATTGGAGCCTCAGCTTCAGGATCTGTCCTTCCAATAAGCACTCAGGGTTGATTTCCTTTAGAATGGATAAGTTTGTTCTCCTTGCAGTCCAGGGGACTCTCAAGAGCCTCCTCCAGCACCACAATTCAAAAGCATCAATTCTTTGGCGGTCAGCTTTCTTTATGGTCCAGCTCTCACTTCCATACATCACTACAGGGAAAACATGCAGTGAACCTTCTCCAGGTGAATTGTGTTTAGTCAGAACTCTCCACTATGACCTCTCTGTCTTGGGTGGCCCTGCACGGCCCATAGCTTCTCTGAGTTACTCAAGCCCCTTCGCCATGACACGGCAGCAATCCGTGAAGGAGCTCTCTATAGATATCAGAACTTAAATCCAGAAGGGGATTCTTTGGATTTACATGTTACATGCCCGCCAACTACAAGCTGACATTTAACAGTTTCTTTTATATTCTGGTCAGTATGGGTGCACAGAGGAAAAATTTGTAGCTTTTCTGGATGCAAAACACTTTCAAAGTTGTAGTTAAGTAATAAGCAAATTTTGGCACTCTTGCCATTGCTTTCTGTGGAGTAAGTGGGAGATAAAGGAAGATAAATATCTAAGGAAGATAAAGACAACACAAAGGCTGGAAGTGACCATCTGCTAAGTTCTCTTCACCATTTCTAATATGCCTTGTTCTCTTTTTTATTAAAGGAAAGTGTGGACCTGGGGGAGATCATGTTTTCCCTTTGTTATCTGCCAACTGCAGGTCGCCTGACTTTAACAGTCATTAAGTGCAGGAATCTCAAAGCAATGGATATAAACGGCTACTCAGGTGGGTGTTTCTTTGCTTGGAATATGGTAATGATATGATCCTCCTCCTGTTTTGCTTCTGTGCCAGTGCTTCATGCTTTAAAAATTGGCCCGTTGGCTTACACATTCTTTGTTATATGGATGTCACTGATTTACACAAAGCTGTCTTGTGCAAATGAAATATTTATCTCTGTCTCTCACACACAGATATAGCACCATGCATAATCTAACAGGCCATTCAATACATTTTGGTTGAAGGTCAGAGGATGTTTTCAAGAGCATTGTTGGCATGAGGGCCTGAAACTGTGTGACTAGTGATACTTGCTGTGAACCTGATTAATTCTTAAAGTGGTCTTGATATGTTTAAGCAGGACATACTATAATTAGATGTCACATTTGGCCATTTGTAAGCACTATTTCCAACCTTCTTACAACTATGTGACCTTCATCAGAGCTAACAAGCACCAGAGATAGTTGTAAACAAGGAGTTCCAGAATAATGGCCGAGCAAGAGGTGTACCTTTTGAGGTCTTCCTGTTGGGGGCATGGAAATATCTTCTGCCCTTTCTATTCTGACAGTGGTACTGGAAATGAGCACCCTTCCCAGGATGAATCAGAGGAGGCTATGAGTCCCAAATCTTCTTGTTCCCCAACCCCTTCCTTGAAAAATGTGCAAGCCTTTAATCTGAGATAATTATTCTCTCTCTAGCTGCATGGCCAATGCTAAGAATTGGTGACAGATGAACTTCAACTCAACACTCTTAAATATTTATGCTCACTTGAGCATATTTTAACCCATCCTAACTACACCTACCTGAAATCAATGACTGTTCTTCTCATATTTACCCATTACTTGATCTTCCTCCTCTTCCTCTGGTTGCTTCTTAGTGTCTGTTTTCAAATATGAGACTTGCCTTGTTGTACTTCCCAAAGGCCTACTGCATGTTGACAACATGGTACAAATTAATAAACAACAACATTACAAGTCACACTGATTTCCACAAGAGTTGGTTCTGCCCTATTTTCACTGAATTGCAACTTGTGGATTCCCATATACACATATTTAAAAAAAAATGTGCCAGATAGATAGATAGACAGAAAGACAGACAGACAGACAAAGAAATGTGCCAGATAGATAGATAGATAGACAGAAAGACAGACAGACAGACAAACAGACAGACTCCATCACTTGTGCCTTCTGTTTACGCATCTGGTTGTGGAGCCAGAGTTGGGAGTTGGATTCCCCATTGTGCCTTCTTGACAGGGGCTGCACTCAATATCCAAAGGTTTCCTTCTTGCGCTGCAATTCATATACTTCTGCCATGATAATTTTGTTTCAGAGCAAGCCTGAGGGAATAATCTGTGGTGGAAGGATAAACACATTCAAATTCCAACCAGGTTTGCACTAGAGAGGACAGAAATCATTGACATAGCATTTTATTGGTCATCATTTGTTCCAATAAGAGAAGAATTAATCACACCAGCAGCACCAAAGGTGACTTAGTTCCAACACACCCACCCACAAATCCATGCAAAGGGTAGACTCTTTCTACTTCAGCTATTCTTTTTGAGTCACCACCCATCTGTGGAATCCTGTCGGCAACGGAGCTTCCTGTTGCCTCAGCAAAGGAGCATCTACTGGCAGATTTCCTGTTTCTGCAGCAGAGATAGTACTTTACATTATCCTGCAGCCTCTATGGTCCACAGAACTACCTCCTTAGTCTTTAAGGTGCTACATGACGCTTGGCTGTGTCCCCCGCCGCTGCCACCCCATAGGAGACTAATACAGTTTCTCCTCTGGGGAGAAGAAACTGCCTTTTTCTTGCCCAATTAATTCTGGGGGAAACAACAGCTGAAAAGCATACATATCTAATTAATCTGAGAAAAAATATCTCAAGTGAATAATACTTGGGTTTCTGCCATAATAACTCTTTTAATGGTCTAGACTTTCACCTTTTAGTGTCTGTGTTTTACTGACAAACATTTTAATCTGTAGCAGCAATAGCAGTGAAACTCTTTGGGCAGACAAGCATGTCTGCTTGGCTGGTACTTGATGCAGTCTGAATCACTAAGAGTGGATGGTTCCGAAGGAGTACAGCTCAGTAATTCTGCAGTGATACTCTATATAGTTACTGGAACTTCTAAATACTTGGCAATATTCTCCAGCAGCCTGTACAGCATCTGTATTAGGTTGGAAACTCAGAGGCAATTTGCCAAAATCAGTCTCTGGGGCAGCTAGTGAGGTATTGCTGCCCTATTTTTTTTTTCCTTCTAGCTTTTCCCATTGACTAAAAAGGAAAAGCTTTTAAATCCCCTTTTGTGACTCCGATTCCTGAAACTAGTTCACAAATATTTAGCATAGAAAACAAAATTTGTGCTCAAGGTATATGCATAATCAGAGAGCAGAGGGAAGCTGGTGCATTTGTGCTATTTTTTTTTTTTAAAGGGAACAAACTGTGAGGATGAACACGGTAAATAACACAGGAAACCCATTGTGACAACCCCAGACCTACTGGAGTATACCACCCTTTAGTTAAGCTGCCACCAACCATTCCCTATAAGGAGTCACACAGACCAGGAATGGATTTTTAACAAACAAAAGAACAAGGTTTATTAAAATAACAAACAGGGTAAATAAAAAGATCAAGTAAATAAGATACTGTAACGTGGCAAAGTCCCAAACATATACATATAACAGTTTGGTTCCCACAGAACCCTTTAAAGTAAAGCACAGACCCTGAACCTATCAGTTCTGGCTACCTATAAAGAAACCTGAACCTATCAGGTATGTACTAACTGACACACAGTTGTACTCAGTCTGACACACAGACTCC